TCTTCCTCACTTCTCACTCTTATCTGGCGCCTGGAAACTGCAGAGTAACCAGGTCAGGGCGTCACAGAAGGATATATCTCCGCATCTTTAACCCCTACCCCACAAAACCCACACACAAAAACACACCACACACCACACACACACACACACACACACACACACGGACACCTCTACCAACACGCAAGGACAGGAAAAAAAAAAAAAGGGAAGACGAACATAAAAACAAATTAGCGCAGACGCCAAGGTTCACGCCGGTGGCCTTGGGGGCTGCTGGAGATGCCCGCGCGAAGCGGCTATAGGGAGATGCCGGAAGGCGTTTCCTCGCTCTGTCTCCCTCGCACCCACACGGGGCGCCCCATGAGTGCGAGAGGGACAGAGCGACGAAAGTGACCTCTCGGAATGAGTCTGCTGGAGTCTGGCTGGAGCCTCGCCGGCGGCGCCGCGTGGGCCTGCCTGCACCGCCCTGGCGCATCCACGCAGCGAATTCATGACCTGTAAAATCTGACGTCGTCGTCGCCAGGGACCGCGGGGACCACCGCCAGCGAGGCACGGCGTCCTGACGGCGTCCTCAGCGCGTCCGCTATGCCGGGCGCCGCGCGGAGAGAGAGAGCGTGGAGAGAACGCCCCACCGCTCACCTCGGCCGCGACTCTCCCTGTGTCCCTGTCTCTCCCCGGCCGCGCACGTGAGCGCGTGAGCGCCAGTCACGCATTCCGCTTGTTAAAGGGAGCCGCATAATTTCCTGTCAGATTCTCTGTCTCTCTCTCTGTCTCTCTCTCTCTCTCCGATTTTTCTTCCCCTCTCCCGCTCCCCCTTTCACGCTCCCTCACTGCTTCGCATCCTCTTTTTTGTTCTCGTCGTTCGCGCGCGACGCCGCTGCCAGCGAGCGCCTGCGGTCGACGAGGTAGGCAACGCGCCGCGCACCGGTGCACGCCGGCACTGCAACGCGGCAGGGGCCATGTGGATTTTGATTTGATTTGATTTGATTTATTGTTAAGGACTTACAAACAAGCACTTAAGAGTGCCACTGGCATGCAAGCCCGCCCTCCAAATCAATAATTACAAATTCATGATAAAAATAGTTATAAACGAAAAAATAGAGATAAACACTTATATGCTTGTCGCAAAGGACACCTTAAACTAATGGAACAACATAATTAATTATACAAAAATAGTTTGTACTCAAATTTTGGGTTTTTAAAAAGAAACGATCGTAATCACTTATAAACTAAAGGAACAACGTAATTAGCTTGTATAAAAAATATTTTGTCTATTTGGTTACATTATGAACAAGAATCACATCACAACAGACATGGTCGCATGAGGTCATAAGGAGGATAAGCTCTTTTCAACGAGATTTTTCACAAAGTTAACAGATCTGCCCAGGTGCTCATAAAGGTGGAGGTCGTTCCACATTTTGCTAGACTGTAGGAGAAATGAATTATGATTTTTTTCTGTTCTGTGAATAGGTATTTGTAACTGTAACTTGCTTGACCTAGTGGAGCATCTATTACTTGTAGATATAAATTTGTATTTCTCAAATAAGTATGCGGGGGTTTCTGACTTAATAATTTTAAAGACCATCAGAGCAACAGCCAAAGCCCTTCTATTTTCGATTTTTAGAAACTGTAACTTGTCATAATAGGGTGTAATGTGCTCAAATCTGGAGGCTCCAGTTATGAAACGCACACATGCATTTTGCACTCTTTGCAGTCTAGCATTATTACAGTCAGTAATATCAGTAAAAAGTGCAGAGGCATAGTCAAGATGAGGCATCACCAGGGTCATGATCAGCATTTTCCTAATATTTGGAGGTATAAAAGAGAACGACCGCCTCAGCTGTGCTAAAGTTCCTAATATTTTCTGTATTAACAAAGTGCATTGGTCGGTCCAGCTCAGTGATCCATCGAACAACACTCCTAGATTATTAACAGTACTCTTATATGGAATGACACAGTCATTGACAATCAGCTCTGTAACAGTCATCCTGGATAAAATATTTAGAAATCTTTGGGATCCTAATATAATGGATTGAGTCTTTGATACATTTAGCAATAAATTATGCTTTTCACAATAATCTATTATATTCACCATATCGCTTCTTAGATAGTTCAAGTTATCATCCAAGGCATTCAAAAAAGTGAATATATAGCTGTATGTCATCAGCATACATCACGTATTTACAATGCTTTAAAACAGTAGGGAGATCAAATAAATATATAAGGAACAGCAATGGTCCCAGCACACTGCCCTGTGGTACCCCTGTGGTGATCTCAGCCCAGTCAGACATTTGATCTGATGCCACGACAACTCTATGACAGCGCATGGTGAGATATGACCGGAACCAATTTATAGCGGATTTTGAGAAACCTAGGCACTCCAGTTTGGTACATAGTAGTTCATGATGGACACAGTCAAAGGCTTTGCTTAGATCTAACAACACCAATAAAGATAGAAGTCTCTTGTCAATGGCTTCTCTGATATCATCAGTGACTTTTAGCAGTGCGGTAACAGTACTAAAACCCTTTCTAAATCCAGACTGGTTTTCTGCAAAAAGCTTTTTATCATTAAAAAACTCTGTGACTTGAGAGTGCACTAGTTTTTCCAGAATCTTACCCAGCACGCACAGTATGCTGACTGGCCTGTAATCCTTACTCTCTTTGGGATTTTTCACCTTTGGTATTGGTATAATATTGGCCCTCTTCCATATATCAGGATACAAACCATTTTGTAGGCTAAAATTGAACAGATGATCAAGTACAGGTAACAAAGCTGGTAAGCACATTTTAATGAACAATACTAAATACCATCCCCCCCAACAGCCTTTGACTTTATAGAGTAAACAGCTTTAACAATTTGCTCAGGTAGTACATACCTAAAATGGAATTTATCCATAATATCAGACGACTTATCTTTTCCTGTTCTCATCTTATATTTCAATACAGTATCACGTATAAGCTCTTCGTTTCTTACAGATGATACGGAGGCATAATTTTTATTAAGATCAGATGCACCCACCACTGGGTCAGGGTGTTTATCTTTAGACTTGCCTACATTTAGAGATCTAATTGTATTCCAGATCGACTTGGAGTCCCTTCCATTCTCAAACTTCTCATAAAAGTATTTCATCTTTGCACTACGAATCATTCTTTTCACTCTATTTCGGGCCCTTTTAAAATTATCCAAGTCATCCGGACTGTCGGTTCTGTTGTAAATTTTTTTTGAGCTTATTTCTCTGTTTAATCAGACCTCGAATTGTGTTATCCATCCATGGAGCAGAATTTTTCTTTATGGTCTTAGTACTTACAGGTGCATGATCATCCATGAGTTTGTTGAAGATACAATTAAATTTATCCACTTTGTCGTCTATATTACTCTCCGTATAAACTTGACTCCAGTCTGAGTTCTCTACATCACTTAACAGTTCCTCCACGTTTACCCTACTAAAGTTTCTAAAAGTTAGCTCTTGCTTAACATTACGTGGGGTGGACAGATCAAAAACAGCACTAATCATATCATGGGAAGAAAAACCAGAAGCAGAGGTTTGTCCCACGTGACTAGTTTGTCAGGACAGTTACTGCAAATAACGTCTAAAATAGAGTCACAATTATTAACATGGTAGGTTGCCTGATGAGGAACACAATATAAGTTACAAAGACTAAGTAATTCAGGCACTACAAAGCATCATCCCCTCCCCTGCCAAAACCTGCATTGAGGTCCCCACAAAGAAAAGAGTATTTGAATCCTGGTGAGAATTTATAGAATTCCTCGATAAAAGTACTCACGTGACCACCCTTTGGCTTCCTGTACATAGCTGCCAGCAGAATTTTATTTGTACCCACCAGAATGTCAAGCAGAATAAAATCTGGCTTCTCGTAATCTCCTTCTGAAACAGACAGTACTTTCACAGAGTATAACGTTTTTTCATAGACAGCCACTCCACCTCCATTTCTTCCTATTCGATTGGCTCCAAAATTTTGTAACCTGGAAGCTGAAGTACATTTTCATTATTTCTAAACCACGTCTCAGACACCACTATGACATCAATGCCACAGTCAGAAAAGGTATCAATAAATTCAGATTGATGTGAAATATCTCTTAACGATTGAGCATTTATATGTACAATTTTAAATTTAGTTGGTTGTTCCGCAGTGATTTTCTTAACATAATCTCTCAACATCAAGACATTTCCCACACTCATAGATTAGGCATGGCACGTTGGGAAGCTATCAGTCAGCCAATTCTTACATGCTAAATAAAAGAAAACATTTAAAAGTAATGAGAGCAAAAAGTCACATTAAGTATAAAAAAAAGATACAAAACATAAAAAAAAAACAGCATATTATTACTAGCTAGGTAAGAGAAAACATTTGTACTTAGTAGGAGATAAAAATAAAATGAAATATAAAAAATAGAACTAAAAGTAAAACACAACACAACATATTAAAAAGAAAATGAACATAAGTAAACGGAGAGAGAAAAATAGATGAACAGCAATGAAAGTGAAATATAAAAAAATAGAACTAAAAGTAAAACACAACACAACATATTAAAAAGGGAAAAGAGCATAAGTAAACAGAGAGAGAAAAGTAGATGAAACAAAAGTGTATAAGAGATCAATGTTGTAGCTCACTGGGTGGGTGGTTCTTCATAAGTTTGTTGAGGTCCCCGTCACTCCTGACCCGGAAGGGTCTGTCCTTGTTCACCTTGACCAGGATCACTCCATCGATGGTCCACACTGCATTGTTTGAATAATGTGACACAGCAGTTTTCAGTAGGTCCATTCTCATTTTAGTTAAATCTTCACGTATTGTGACTCCAGTTCCTTTCAATCTCTTCTTCGCAGAGAACAGGGACGAACGTTCTGCATAGCTGACAAATTTCACAATGATAGGTCTCGGCCTTTCTCCAGCTTTACCGATGCGATGAGATCGGTCAATGTGATAATGTTCCAGGTGGACTCCCATTTTCTTAGCCAGATCAATCACCAAGTTGTTTGTGTCCTCATTACTCTGCTCCTTGACACCAAAAATTCTCACATTATTTCGTCTGCTGTACTGCTCCCTCTCGTCTAACCCAACTTTCACTGCTGTCTCCAACTGTTGAATTTGTTGATCTTTGTCCGCAAGCTCCTCCGACAGTTTCTCAACTGTCTCCCTCAGGCTGGTTATTTCTAGTTGCAAGGTATTCACACTATCTTGGAGAGGTTTCATGGCGGCGCCTACTGCCTGTGTTATCATTAATTGGAGATCGTCAACACTCATTTCTGTCACCGCCAGTTTTTTCGTCTGCTGGTGCTGCTTTGGTGGCATGATGGTAAAGTTGGCAGCGCCGGAAGGATCACTCCACTGGGGTCTTCTTGTTGGCAGGGTTGGTAGTACGGCACGGTCCGCTCCACTGGGGCCCCTCTAACCTCACTTTTCCCCCTCGAGTCCAGTTTTGATAAGTGCCGATTTCAAGGTGACCACAAATGGCACACGACTGCTACCAATGTCAGGCCTTCAGAAGCGTCCACTGCAAGTCCAGCGCTCAGTTTTGAATGTTTTTTTCATGAATCACCTTCAGAAACACTTTGATAGCTTCCTCATCTGCTCAGTCGCTACTCCATGAGAGAGAGAGAGAGAGAGAGAGAGAGAGAGAGAGAGAGAGAGAGAGCGGCGGGCGCGTGTGGACAGTACGGAGTCACTTTATCAGGACCATAAAGTCGCCTTTACGAGTCGGCGAACAAAAGGCAGGCGGCCAGTAGTTGGCCGGTAGTTTGTTGCATATCACTAATGTTTACGAGCGGCCACGTCAGGTTCCGTTGGGTCCGTGAGAGAGGCGCCATGTTTTATTTTCGGCCGCTCTGTCCGAGCAATCATGAGACCTGCTAGCCTGACATGACTGGGACGGTGTCCCGCCACTGTCCGTGACCTACACGAGCCGAGCCGAATCTATGTCGAGCCAGGTCAAGCTGTTGATCCGAGCCGAGCCGAGCCGAGCCGAGCCGAGCCGCGCCGAAGTGGTGCGGCTTCCATTCCCCGCCGCCCCTGCCGCGCTACGCAGGAAGACCAGTTTTGTTTCACTTTCCTAAGTGATTCCGGGACCGGATCCTCCGGCTGCTGCCTGGTAAACAGTTTCCTCCGAGAGGTGCGTGGGACTCGGCCGGTGACATGGCAATGGGACCTGTCTGTCTGTCTGTCTGTCTGTCTGTCTGTCTGTCTGTCTGTCTGTCTGTCTGTCTGCCTGTCTGTCTGTCTGCCTGCCTGTCCGGCCATCCAGCAGTGCAACACACCATTGGAACCAGCCCAGTGCTCTCGGAGGAGGCGGTGATGGCGTTGGCGTCGCGCAGGATCAGCCCTGGTGTGGAATCCCAATGAGCAGAGATCCGTTTTAAAACGCAAAGTACGCAGCGCCTGACACGCTGACCCTCGAACCAGGAGGCCAGCGGGTCCGTAACTTTACAGCGGGGACTTTGCCTTCCCGCCCTCCTCCACGCCACCGCCACCCAAACCCCACCCTCGGCTCAGGTGCGGTGTTGCGGGTGGGCTGCGGGCCGGCTGCCCACCAGGAAATGGAAACAATCTGTTTGGTCGGATTAACAAGCGACCCCCTCGGCCTCCGCCCCCCCCCCCCCCATACCACCCTAGCTTCCTGCAGCCCTCCGATCCCCTCCTACCCCCACCCCACCCCGCACTGCAGCCCTTGTCGTCCTACTCTGCCTTGGCGAGCCCCGACCCGCGCTTCACCGACACGAATTTCCATGCTGCAGGACCATTGGCGATATGGCCTCGTCAATTCAACCTCGACGGCGGCCTCGACGGCGGCCTCGACTTCAACGGCGGCCTCGACGGCGGCCTCGACGGCGGCCTCGACGGCGGCCTCGACGGCGGCCTCGACGGCGGCCTCGACGGCGGCCTCGACGGCGGCCTCGACGGCGGCCTCGACGGCGGCCTCGACGGCGGCCTCGACGGCGGCCTCGACGGCGGCCTCGACGGCGGGACGGCGGCCTCGACGGCGGCCTCGACGGCGGCCTCGACGGCGGCCTCGTTTTGCGAGCTTCCGCTGGAACCTTCGGCCGGTGGCGCCAGCAGGTGTGCCCTGGTGTGCCCGCACCATTCGGGAAGAAAAATATGCGGCGTTACTTGGAACAAGCAGGGTAATAAAGTTTTAGTCCGGCGTGCAAAAACAACGCACGACCGCACTCTGCTGGCATCCGCCCTCCACCCCCTGTGCGACGAACGGACGGACCGACAGGCAGAGACAGACACCACGACAGTAGTTAGACAGACGGACAAACAGAAAAACATCCAGACAGGCAGACAGGCAGGCAGTCAGGCAGACAGACGGACAGACGCGCGCCTCATATTCGCTGCTTTCGCTGGCAACACGTTGGGGTGACCGAGGCGGGACCGAGGCGGGCGGGAGCTCAAAGATTGTAATCTGTCTGAGAGCGCGCGGCGTGCTGCTGCCTCCGCGGTGACGGGGCGGACGGGGCGGACGAGGGCGCCGCCGTGTCGTTCACCCCGCCGCCGCCGTCGCGGGATGCCGCCGGGCCTGCCGCCAGGACGCCTGTTTTAGTTGGCCAACTCTGGCGGCGCAGCGGCGCACACAAAGGCACCTGTGGCGGCGCGGCGCGGTGCGGCGCGGTGCGCACCCGGCCGGCGCGAGGCCGCCGAGGCCGCCGGGCTGCCGGACACACTGGTCGGCCATCAGGCCAGCAGGTGGCCAGTAGGTGGCGCGCACGTCGGCCACGCGCGCAGGCCCTGCCGCCGCGCCGCCGCCGAGGCTGCCGCTTGTCTGCCAACTTTGATATTAGTTGTCAGAGCGCGCTGCTGCTGCCTGCTGCGCCGCCGCCCTGGTCGTTTTGTGCGCCGAGCGTGGCTGCTGCGCCGCAGAAGCTGCTGCCGCTTTCTCTCGTCATATCCGATCCCAAAGTTTCACAGCTTCGAAAAGAGGGAAAATGGGAGTGGGGGGTTTGGCGATGCTTGTGCCGGCGCCTTTGAGGCGGGGCATCACAAGATCGAAAAAAGAAAAATACTTTTAATAAAGGGGCGTGGAGCTTCGATCCCCGGACCGCCAAGTCTCAAGGCTACCTGCTAACCGTCTCGGCCACCGGGGAGGGGCGGTGGAACGCGCGTTGTTTGCAGGGCATTTGGCTGGCGCCCCCCCTTGTAAAAATGAAAGTACGGATTTGGTACGGATCCAGACCGGGAATGGTACGGGTGCAGTCAGGGCGCGTCTGACGAAGGCTGGGTTTGGTCCGGACAGTGCCCGACCAGGTGCGGCTATCGTCAGGGAGGTGCCCGACTTGGTCTGGCTGTCGTCGGGGTGTGCCCGACCCGGCCCGGCAGTTGTCAGGAGGTGCCCGACCTGGTCTGGCTGTCGTCGGGGTAGTCCCCGACCTAGTCCGGCAGTTGTCAGGAGGTCCCAGACCTAATCCGGCAGTAGTCAGGTCACCATACCTGGTCCGGCTGAAGTCAGGAAGTGCCCGACGAAGTCCGGAAATCGCCGTACTAAATTCGAACTTAGAATCGTCGCCGCGAGATGGCGCTGCACGCGCCGAGCCGCCGCCCGCTCGCGCTGGCGACCTAGGTTAGCGTTGTAACTAGTCTGTAAGCACGTTTTTCTGTGAATCAGCACTTGGTCTGCAAGTGTTCGCTTTCCTGTGAGAAACCACCGGTCCCTTGGCCCGAGCGCCCTCAACCCCTTTAACCCGGGTGGCGACCATGCCAACGGTCACGCGGTCACAGTATCCCAAAATTGTTCTGTTTTTTTTAAACGGAAACAATTTTTGTAAACGTTGCAGATGAGTTTGAAAAATAAAGTGTCTAGAAGCATTGGGTCCTCCGAGGCGCACGGTAATCTACACGCATTTACATAACCGTTGTCGAAAACGGCATACCTGTGCGTCTTTTCCTTCTGTAGATACAGACGTAGAGAGCGCGCGCGCGCGGTCCGCGGGGGCTTGACCCAAAGAGGCCCGCGCACCGCTTCCCTCCCCATGTGGCGGAGTGGCGCAGTGGTCTAAGGTGCTGGCATCGAGTCCGGAGGGCGGACGTTCCAATCCAGTCCGCGCATGTTTTTGTGCTTCAGAGCTCCGTGCGATTCCTGCACTTCGGCCTGACTTTTTGGACGATTTCCCGGACTGCGTCTGGAGCAGCTTGCCGGACTCCGAGTCCGGAAAAAGTGCGGCGTATGGTCGTTTTCCGCACCTTTTCCAGACACGAGTCGGGAGTCCGGCAGGTCCGGGAACAGTCTGGAATCGATCCGGATTGTCGGACTAAACCCAGTCTGGAGCCGGACTTTCATTTTTACAAGGGCGACTGGCCCCTTGGAATGCGAGTAGACTGACGCAGGTGTGGCCGCTCCGCTTGCATGCCGCTGCTCATGTTTCAACCTCTCTACTCATTCCCCTCCCCTCCCCCCCTCCCCCTCCCCCCGTCACGTCACACGACCGCCGCAGTCTCACACTCTGAGCTGACATGCCTGAAATGTGGCATGTTTGCCGAGGGGACTTCTCTCCACGCTTGTCTCCTCTTTTGCTCATCCCTCCTCAATCTCTCCCCGTCCCCCCTCCCCTGCCCCTTCTCGCCTCTCTCCCCTTCGCCTCCTCCCTCCTCTGGAGAGCCACTTAGCCGCACCAGTGGGCTGCTACCGGGGGCCGCCTCCGTCTCTCTCGCACTCACGGGGCGCCCCGTATGAGTGCGAGGGAGACGGAGCGACGAAAACGACTCTCGGAATCAGTCTGCAGGGTGACGCGTACGTTTGTCCCGAGACAAGAAGCCCGGGACCGCGCGTCACCCAGGCGATCCCCCCTCCCCCTCCCCCTCCCCGCCCCTGCGCCTTGGCTGCGCCTTGGCAGGGAACATAATTGTGTCCATTTGTCCGCGTCTGCGCTTCGCGCCGCATTCCGGGGCCTCACCTCTCAGCCCGACTTACGTGTGTTCGGGCCCAGGATACCGCCCTCCCCCCCCCCCCCCCCCCCCCCGCCCCGCGCCTCAATCAACACAAAGTCGAAGAAGAAGAATGCCGCGATCCGGTCGGCTCACGCCGAGAACACTGCACTGCAGACGCACGCCAAATTTATACTCTCTCTCGAAGAAAGCTTTTTGCAATTTTATCTTATTTCCGTGTCTAAAGAAGCGGAGCCGGTGATGTTTTCTGGCGCACGTGTTGTGCGCGGAGAGCCGGGGCAACCTTGACTGGCTGTGCGCCGCCCCGCCCGCCCCCCCCGCGCCCCGCCGCGCCCCGCCGCGCCCCGCCGGGGCCCCCCCCGCGCCCCCCCCCCGCCCCGCCGCGCCCCGCCGCGCCCCGCCGCCCCCCCGCCCCC